TTTTTACCTTTCTTTATCAGGTATGTCAAATTTTGTGTTGGTGTTTTTTCATCTTGTGTCAAATATGTTTCATGTAAGTTTGTACTTTATGTTTAATGTAAAAATAAATACGAGCCCTTTTCTACAATTACAATTACCCTGTGGGAGAGGAGCTGGAACGGGCAAGTTATTGACTTGGAGGTCTTTATTTTTATCTTTCACCGTCAGACACAACCCAAGAACACATTGGTTACATCCAGATATCTTTTTGGGGGAAATACCTTGCTATTTTACAGAGACAATAGTAAACAACAGTGATGTGCAATACTGCAGATCTTGGTAATAATTTAGCACCAGATACCAAAACTGATACTTATACTTTTAACTTATGAAGGCAGTTTATGCAGGGTACCTTTCAGGTTTTCATGCATTTTGAAACTGGAATTTTTGGAGACCTGAAATGTAAATGTACCTGTCTCTAAAGCACAACTTATGTTGTTTAAATGCAATACACCTCACAGTCAACACAAAAAGATTTAGACATTTTTCATAACTGATGTCTGAGCAATTTTTTTTCATAAAAAAAAGCTATTTTGCACAATTCAGCAGGCTATGTGTGTGTGTGTGTGTGTGTGTGTGTGTGTGTGTGTGTGTGTGTGTGTGTGTGTGTGTGTGTGTGTGTGTGTGTTCAATACAAATACCAATGTTAGTTACGATACTATCAATATTTTAATTGATCTGCCCGCCTCTAGTAAACAACATGCTTTATCTATTACAATAGCATGGCCTCTTAATAGAAGAGTCAAGGTATTGCAGAATCCAGCAGCTAGAATTCTTTTACATCCATTGAAATTTCACTATGCTACCCCAGTACTGAAGTCACTTTATAAGTATAATATATGAAATGCAGCATATAAATAAAATATCCATTGGACAGTCCTGCCCGCAGTCCAGACCTTTCACCAAGTCAAAACATTTTGTGCATCATGCAAAGAAAAGTCCTTGAAAGAGTCAAGAGTGTTAAGAAGATAGAATCTTATACTATGTCAGACAAAAATGGGACAACATTCTGCTCCCAAAAGTCCAATAACTGGAATTTTCAGTTCTTAGATTGATGGACCTTTAAGTGGGGACACTATACAGTGGTAAACATGGCCCTGTCTCAGCATTTGAGTTGCTGTCATCAAGTTTAGTTAATGGATCAAATGCACTGAAAAGGCTGTTTTGTTGGGATCAATAGAGGACAATTACTGTTGTTTTTTACATTTGCCCTGCCCTAGAAGAGGGCAGGGCAAATGTAAAAAACAACAGTAATAGAACAGCAAGCATCTCGAGAAACCAGAGGACGAGGATGCTCATTAATCTCTGAAAGCCATGATGATAGCAGGTTTCTTCTTTCTGATCTTCTTCACAGGTAAGCTGATAATTCCATCTAGCTTCATAGAGCTGACTTATGGTGCTTTTAAAATGTAAGTAATCAACACTTTATTTTAACTTCATAAAAGTAAGTAGTAAGTATGTAGTTCAGTATGAAGTCTGTTTTCCTCTGAAACCAGCCATTTACCACCAAAGGACAGAAATATCCTTTTGATAAATTACACATTTTTCCGGCTCCTACTAAAACCAGATTTTTAAAAAAGAATATTAATGGATCAGGGCTTTTAAACACATTAATAAAAACAAAATGCATTTATGGGAGGAAGACAAAACAAAAAGCAAGATATTTGATTAAAAATTCAAACATGT